ATCTAATAAAGATAAATAGTACTGTAGAATATAGTATTAAGAGAAAGAAAAGCTAATTTTAAAATAAGATTAAAATAATTCTATAACTATATAATTTTCAGTTATAGGATTAATAAAAGATTACTGATATCCAAAGGACTATAATAAGTTAGTAGCAGAAAATTATATAGCTAAAATTCTCTTAAGCTCTGTAAGATTTCTCTATCTACTATTAAAGAGACGCGGCTTCTGTAATTTATAGTCTTAAAGCTCTATTTATATATATTATAACTTACTATAGATATTACTCTCTTATTTATTTAAAGAAGATATTACTAATGGCTATAAAATCTCTTTTTATATCTAGAACCAGTATATCTCTATAGTATACTTTATCACTCTGCACTCCAAGTTATATAATTTAAGAATACTGTATATTAACTGTATATCAATAAGTACAGTACTAATTAGGCTAATAATACACTATATTATATTTTTAGCTTCTAACTTAAGATATATAATATAGAAACATATCTTACTATCTTGTTTTCTATTTAGTAGGCAATATAAGTATACCAGTTATAACTGATAACAGTATAACTGACAGTAAAGACTAATCAGTTAGTTATAACTAAGATTTCTTTTACCAGCTTATCTAAATATACTAGCCTTTCAAAGTTAGTACTTAACTAGATTACAAGTTAGGCAAGTATCTTCTTTTTTCTATTATTATTAGCTTTAATCTTAACTCTAGAGAATAGTATAGTCTACTTATTAAAAGTGTCAGTTATATAGTTAATCTAATAACTACAGCCATCTATACTAACTCTTTGATAAAGGTTATAGACTCCTGGATTATGACAGGAAAACAAAAAGAAATAATCAGTCTTTTTACTAATCTATATAAAATTATTATTTATAATAGAGAGCAAGTTCCCATTAATTTATTATAATTATCTAAAATTATATAATTAGAAATTATCTCTAAATAGAAGTGCCTGTACTTATATATTAGTTAATTACAGTTCAGATACTTCTTTCAGCGATAAATAAAGAATAGATTAAATAATATCTAGATATTAAGTATTCTTATCTTTTCTATATATATTATAGTATCTGGCTTCTAAGCATATTTCTTTAAGTTCACTCTACATAGCATTAAGGTCATTGTCTAATATATACACAGAGTCAAAATATATAGAATCAGGAATATCTTCAGTACCAGATAGATTAAATACATGTATCCAAGACTAAATTAATAATTAGCAAAGATTAGATAAAGAGTATATAATATCAGTATCTCAAGTTCTCTCAGAATAATCTTCTAGCCAAATCTATCTATAAGGCGCTTCCGTAGTGTCAAGACTGTATTAGATATAGAGCCAGTAGCCTATAGCTTATATATAATCACAGACTTTGCCAGTTAAAGTTAATTAAAGATATCATGGATAGGACTAAGCTAACATAATATATTAGATACACTAGAGCAAAGCTTTATATAATTGGAAATTAATAAAATTAATATTTCTGAAGAAGCTGAGATTCTTTAGTTAGAGTCATTAATATCAGTTTATTGTTATTTTAATAAACTAGATTAGTGAGATAGAGATATAGATCTTACTCATTTCTTTTTATCTGCATAGGATACAATTGAAGATAGTAGATCCTCCAGTAGAGAAAGAAATAAAGATATATTAAAAAGTTTCTCCAGCCAGCTTTTAATATATATCAGCTAAGTATGGTCTATTGCTGGTTTACCCACTAAAAATATTTTCTGAAGTATATTTAGGACTGTACAAATGATTCATGGTCTTGGGATAGAGAATTTAAGAAGTAGATATTAATTAATCTCTTTCTCTATTTAGAATAAAACAGACGTGTAACTAATTGATATAGTTACTCTAACTTATTATATTAGCTTATATAATATTAAGGCTGGAAGAACACGTCACCCAGACAGAGAATGAAGCAGGGTCTGGGTAAGACCTATTGGGGATTCAGGGGACTAAGAGCTTCGGGTAAAGGAGGGTAAAGAAGAGTAAAGAGAAAGCGGCAAGGGCACTAAACCCAATAAATCAAAAAAACCTGGTAAACACAGACATACAACAGCCGGGATTCACTGGTGGTCACCCACCCAACTACTAACCGGCCGGCGTGTGGCTTAAGTACGGCTGAGCGGACGGGAAGCCCTGTTCTCCACACCCTATGGTCGTATGTATAAGTTTCACGAAGACAGATGATTATATAGTATACATTGTATATTAATACGTTAATCTGATCTAAATGTGTTCTACCTCAGCATTGTATACCAGTAGCTAAAAGGCCATGAAAGAAAATATAGTTCTATGACTACATGTCAAGAACGGCTCGAGTTGTCTCCGTACAGGTTTACCAAGCTGTTACCTTATGTGTAGACTATCTCCACTGATTGTCTTAAATTGGTACGGTGTATATCATTCAATATATATAGCCCATCAGGCTCCACGTGGAACCTCGCAAGATGGATTCTTATACTGCACAATTCCAGCACAAGGTCTTCTGTCTCGATTCTTGTGTTCTATGACTTCATGCACAATACGCTATCCTGCCCCACCCTGTTTATATAAAGTTTGTTAGTAGTTAACTTCCTAGGGCACCAAATACTCTAATCGTGACGAGAAGAGTTGCCCAGCCCGTCTCGACAAAGACAATACAGAGAACCACTTCCCGCCAATATATTAAAGGGGCTAAGGGCGTTATGCCCAAACATCACTAAATAGGGAAGAAAGACTAAAAGGCGCAATACCGAGGGAGAACATATATGTTGGCACGCGACCCTTTGTGTTTCCAATGTCCACTTCCGCTCTACTGTCCTTTTTTCTCTCTTTTTCCCTTCATGTTTTCTATCGAAAATGGTTCGACCTTTAATCCTTATACTCATCCTCTTTTTATCAGTTCTAGCAGCCCGTCCAGCCCAAGCCCCCGATTAGGTCGAAAGGCGCCCCGCCTGCGGTACTTCTGGGAGACGACCTTATATACCCCTTGAAGGGTTTTGATCAGTGAAGGAATGCACGAACAAGAATCTGCTGGATGGCTATCATAGGCAAACATACCAGTAAGTACTAGAGTATGAGGAAAATTGTCTGTAAAAGGACGGAACGTACAGGAAAGGTATCCAGGACCTGAACTCTTGTATTGGGTATGACATAAATACTGTTCACATGGTTCTGCAATATAAGTATGGTTTGCTCACTCGGACCTTTCCTGGAATTGATGACTAATAGGTGTTAGTGGAGGGGCTTTCGCCAGGGAAGATTGCTGGAGCTGCATACTTATGGCGAACGGCGATGTACTCGAGTGTACGTGCAGAACGAAAAGGGGAAACCCATAAGGGGCCAATGTTGCCAGGGCACAATTCGAGATATGTAGGCAGCCTTGCTAGATTGGTATCTTTTATTGAGGATAACATGCTGACTAGAAGGCTATTGGGTGTTTAGATATGAAAATGGGGTTATTTTCCGTTGATGCACTGGCTTGTCTTGACTATGGGGATTGTCTAATTGAGCGTTTGCTTGTGGGCTTTCCTTCTTTCTATCTCTTTGTGAGCCATACAGATCTTCACAGAAACTCCTGTAATTTTTAATGGAACATGATAGAGTAGTAAAGATGGTTGAGGTAGAATGGGCTGTTGTTTACATGTTAATTTGGAAAGTCATGCTGGATAGAAAGATAGTGGTTGAGAAGACACGCAACATTCTGCAGGAAATTCGTGTGAGGGGATATTGCTAGTATTTATATCTCATATAGAGATGGAAGGATGTAATAAGTATTCTTCTCTGTTTTAGGGCCTAGGTAGTACACGGGATGTAGGGCGCTCGAGGAACTGATTTTATTGGATGTCTAATTGCTCCATCTAGGAAGCTTGGTGCGCTGTACATTGTTTGACCCGAAAGGCTTCTTGTGCTGAATTTACTATGCACTTGAAACTCTAGGAAAGTGTAAAACTAAGACTTTTGTTTAGAGATAATTACCCCTTAAAAGAAAAGAAAGAACCAATTTCTTAAGCTGACGAGGATTATAAGAGTGAATGTTCCAGTTACACCACAGACTCCAATGGTTTATTCAAGGATACACAAGATGAAGTTCATTACCATACTTGCTATTTTCTTACTTAGCTCAGCTGAGCAAGCCCTGTCCTTTACAATCAATGCGCCATCTGCTACTTTTTGAGAGGCGAAGCATAGAAAAGCACCTTGTTTCCGTGCAAAGGATGGAAATGCGGATCCCGTATGCAAGGAGCAATTTTTTACCTCTTACAAGGAAGTCAAAACACAGAAACATCCAAAGCTAGCATTCTTTATAGACCAGCACACACATCAGAGTGTCGCATACGTCGCACAATAGCACAAACATATGTCATTAACTATAAGAGGAAGCGGGTCGTAACCAGTCGTAAGCTATCCCTTTGGCAATCGGACCTCGTTGACCTCGTGCACCAACCAATGAAACGAACCCAACTCGCAAGGTCCTTTCCAAAGAAATACCGGAATGAGCGGATAGGAAACCTGGAAGTTCGCGAAGTCGATCTGCCAGCAGGTCCATGTAGTCATAGAAGCCAGCTATGCTATGGATATGGCCTATCCTCCGAAGTGGGAAGGAATTTGCCGATCTACCGTCAGTCAAATACAAGCCTGAAGCCGACTGGGTGGTTGTTGCCATTGTCAAGAAAAAAGTTGGAATTTTCTGTGGCTTTATTACACCCGATGGCACTAGGAGCCTCTCGAGTTTCATTTTTTGTACATAGACGAAGGCGTCTATATGCAATTTAGGGGCAGGGGATAGCACTGTGCGGAACAATAGACTCCTAGGAAGTGTATATGTAACTAATAGTCTACAAGGTGATGAGGAGATGGGACGTGTTTCACATATGTATTTGGTCTGTTCAAACCTAGGTGCGCCATATCCAGGGCAATATTAGTGTATTCTCATTTACTATCCAAGCAAGAACTTAGCCACCACATTTTCCGTATCAATTACTGGATCTAGAACCCAACAGAAACCTCGTAGCCCCCATCAACCTCCTGCACATCAAACCTAACCTTCCCCACACAGTCCCCATATTCATACGGCTTACTCACCGTTCCCTGTACGCCAGACTCGGTTGAAGTAGGCGTCCCAAAAGTAGCATTTGTATACGGCAAAGAGTCACAGGTATGTCCGCCAGCCGAGTTCCAAGGATAATACTCGACGAAGCCAACCTGGCTTTTTTTGATTCCGCCGGTACCAGAAGGAAGCGTGTACTCTCCGATATGGGTTTCAGTGTTGCTGGTGGTGTCGACAAGGGTACCGGTCCAGGTTGTTCCCTGGGTATTCTTCACGGCAAGATGGTACGTGTTTGCATAAGATGCTTCAACCTCGACAGCGCAGCTGACGCCCGCACCACCGTCAGCACCATCGTGACAGTTTGCGTCGTTGCTAGTGCTGCCTGGGATAAAGCTCGAGAAGACAGCGTGGATGATGCTGGCGCCGTTGGCGTCGGGGCGAGGCTGGAGACCTGTGTACCCGATGTCTGAGACACCATTGAAGGCGTATTGCTGGGCGAAGTAGAAGCCTTCTTTGTGCGGGGCGTTGGCAATGGAGATGGGGAATGTGATATCCTTCAGACCCGTGGATGGGATGTTGGACGCGCTCCAATCTAGGCCAACGAGGGCTTCGGTGAAGGGGAGGAGGGGAATGATGGCTGTCAAGAGAGAGATGGGCTTCATCGTGGTGACTGGTGGTTGATAGTGGGTTATTGAATTGAAGACTGGTGGTCGAATACTGTGTTAGTATGGTTCATTTGGGGTTTGTGATTATGGTCATAATCATTTAGAGATACTCGGAGACGCACTGCTATAATGAATGTACGATCGACCAGCGATTAAAGATTAACTCGGAGGCAATGAAGAAATAAAGTAAGTGAAATGTGAAAGTATAACTCGCTCTGCTAACTCCCTACCTCCTACTACTATTAGGAATCCCTATTTATACTCCAACAACCCATCGTTACAATCACAAAATCCATGCAAGAGCACAGTACCATCGGCAACATCACCCCATGAAGGTATGATTGGTAATGTCAAATGCCATTGTAACCTTAGTGCTCTCATGTTCCTGTCGGCAATCAAGCTGAAACAATCAATCTGTTCGGCTTCACTATGATTTGACAGGCGGGTGTCGATCAACTCGGCTAAGGTGTCAGGTGCCGTTGGGACCTCCACCGGTCGAACTCTCTTCATGTTACATCGAACTGGTTCTGAAGAAGCTCCATCGGACACTAGCGTTTCAAAGGGTTTCGCTTAGATCTTGTTGGGATTACGATGCCGTTTGCAATGTTGGCCTGTAGGTCGTTAGAGCATGAGTGAGTCCTACTCCGTCCGGAGTATAGGTGTTTGAGTTCGTCTATTGCGGCCCTTGATGTTATAAAGTGGGACTGTTATGTTTTGCAATGATTATAATGATGTAAAGCTCTAGTTACTAATGCTATATCAGTTCCGACTATGCCGGCGGACACCATCGCGTTACCGACACTTACCCCTGAAGCGCGGCATACAAAAGTCACCGACATCACCGGAAGAGCTATGAGGAATAGAATAACCGAAACAAAATCCGTCCCAGAAGGCTCTTGGAAGCGAAATGCTGCGCAACAAATCGTATCTGCTCAACCCTCGCAGCCAGACCAACCTGGCCCTCAGAGCTCGCGGTAAACCACTGCAATCCAGTCTTCTCCTCCTCACCCAAACTCTTCCACAATGAAAGAGTTTTCTCTTCGGAAAAGTGGTACGAGGCTGCATATAACACATAGATGCGAGCAATCGGGTGCAGTGAGCTCGATCGCCAATCCACATCCAACCACCTTTTCCACAAGGGCCATGGTAGCCTGCGCAGCTCCATGGCTTCCTTCCAGAAAGCTCGAAATTGGTACCGCGCTCTCGCGCCACTAACTGCATGGACAGGACCGGTCGTCCCTTTCGCAAGGTGAGCCAGTAGTCGGTCCACTACAACATCCACGGGAACCTCGTCGATTGTTGCTTGCCTCTCCGGGTCTTTAGCCCGGCTTGCCATGCGCGTTACTAGGGTTGGGGTTATAATTAAACCAGCAGCTAAAACGGTCGTCGGCGTGGATTTTGGTACGCTAAAGCCCCGATATGGGAAAGACTGGGCAGGCGCAATGATCGAGGGCCGCAGAATGAGAAGCTTTTCCGCTTTACCGGTGGCCGTGAATTTGTCCAGGACCAGTCGCTCCGTGAGGTGTTTGGCATAGCCGTAGGGCCAGGGGAAACTATGTGCGTTGTATTCCTTGGACTCGCCCTGTTTTTGAACTTCTCCCCATTCGGCATGTACGTCTCGTTTCTCTCCTTGAGCGAGGGGGTATATTTTCTCCTCCACGTAAGGGTCGATATCCGCAGATTCTTGGTATAGGAAAGCATTTGCATAGGCCGTTGAGACGTAAACAAAGCGATCTAGTTGATGGCATTGTAGGGAGTAGTTGACTATCCTTTCGCTGCCGTGGATGATCGGTTTTGATAATTGTTCCAAGGAACCACTGAGGCAGATCGATGAAGCTGCATGGATGACGATATTGACTCGTTCTCGCAGCGTCTCCAGACAATTCTCGTCGATGCCAAGGTTAGGCTCGACCACGTCGCCTTTGATGACGGTCACTAATTTGGCATCATAGAGGCACTCAATGTATTTGGAAGGTAAGTGCTCGTGCCATTTAGCTTCCAGACGACTGATTCTATGTAAGCTGGTGGTAAGTGTTCATGGATGTGCTACGGTACATACGGTAGTCCACCCCTGGAGAGTAGGTATATATGATCAACAGGAGCTTGTGAGCATATGCGGTATACCAGGACAGTGCCCAGGAAACCTGAGGCGCCTGTGATGAAAATGACTTTGCCCGAGTAGTACTCCCACATAATTTTTGTTGAAAAAGAAGCTTATAATTGAACTATGAGAGGCATTTTGGCCATTATATGTCAACCTGTCAAACCCTATGGTATGCGTTCATGTGATTCATCTAACAAACAAATGGCCGCGAGGCAACTTCTGCATTCCAACCAGGACGCCTTTGGAATACGCGTCAGTCTTTCTCTAGTTTGGTAGTACCTCTGCGTTGGCCGAATGTCTGGCGTCATTCCCATGGTATAAAGTCTAATTGACAGGTTTTCCTTGGATAGAGTGCCTGTGAAACCATACAGCGCATTGTTCCTCATGGTGAACCCGGAAACCAACGACGCAATACCAAGGCAAGCCGGACTTAGGGGACACCTTACTCCAAGAATATCCAGTCATGATTAAGTCCCTGCTCCCTACAAGACCTAAATTCAAGCGAAGATATCCAGAATCAGAAATTATGCCATGGATTCAGGTGGCGATGCATCTCTGACCAATCGGAAAGAAGAGGTAAGCAATATTTGTCTCATGTATAGTTGCTATCACCAGCACAGGTTTCATTGTCAGATACGGCAGCGCTATTTATTCAAATAATTAATTCAATTGCTTCTCTCCATAACAGGATTTTGGCCGATATGATAACAACGGTTTTATCAACAACAAAGACAACACTATTCATCGCGCCTTGTCCAATGCGAACCAATATTAACCCAGCCACAACCGACTCCGTCCGACACCAAATTAGCGGGACTCTGGGTTAGCTTGATGATAAGATGCTGCAATCGAATACCAAGACTTTTTAACCTCAAGACTTCCTAACCGCAAATAGATTCGGCGTTTCTCGTACATGCCTTCCAGAACATTAACCTTGCAAGATTCGTATTTTGCTATTATTGCACCTCCCATCTTTTGCAATAGAAATCCAAGGGCGAACAATTGCCCACAACGTGAACACCAAACACGAAAGGAGTGGGTTTGCAATTGGGGTCCAAAAGTCAAGGATCCCCAGTTATGCAGGAAACAAACCAATTGTCTTGTCTGGAAAAGCAGACGATGCTACTCTGATTCCTTGGCACTGAAATATGTGGAGAACGTGACATCACGAACCCTGACTTGCTGCAAAGTTCACCGCAGGGGGTGCTTTTCTATTTGCCGTGATTTCCTTTGAGAGGTCTGATTCATATTCTCTTGAATTGAGATAATGTGGTGTATACTATTTATTAGCCATAGCCAGGCACTTCTTTCACACCCCAAGTTCCCAGATTTCTAAAAACACAAGATACCCTACTTCCAGTCCCCTTACAGAGCACGGAATGTCAGAACAGGATCAACGAAACCCCGGCACGGGGACAACTAGGGCCAACTCGCCCTCTTGGCTAAGAAAAATCGTGGTCTCTTATCAGGACACTCGATATTTTGGTCGACAGAATCAGGTATACCCCACATCTAGACACAATTAGGGCATCCTTGTACCATGATACCCTGGTCCCTGAACTCTCCAGACCTTCCTTTTCGGGGTCCAGATCTTCACTAAGATCCAATGCACCATGTAGGGCTGTGCAGGAGGTGGAAATAAGTCCCGGTTCTATTCAGCTAGGTCGATGCATCCATAATTGGACCCAACTGGGGGGGATAGAATCTGAACCAAAGATTTTTCGTCGCATCTATTGTAAAATCAACTGCAAATGCCATCTCCATGCCCTCTCTACTTTTAAAATTAATCCTATGTCTCTTCTTCATCTCCTGTACGATCTGGTATGGCAAGACACACTTCTACCGCGACCCAGGGAGCATCTTCTACGATGAAGCCCACGCCTTCGAGCAGCGATACTCCCAACATCGCCGCCGCGAAGTAGACGCCTTCATCCGATCCCAAAACACAACATCAACATTAGAACCACCCCTCAAATCCAGCCCTAATCCCACCCTCTGTCTAACCTACAGCTCCGTCCGCCGCCAAACAACCAATTACCTAGAAGTGTGTCCGTCCTCATCCCCCAGTCCCCCAAAACTTGCAACTAACAAGCAAAAAAAAAAAAGACCTCAATAGCAAGCGTCCTCACAACCCTAACCTCCCAAGAACGTCAAGATCTCCACCTAACCATCCTCATTGCCGAACCAGACCCATCCACCCACCCAAACTGGAACACCACCTGGCTCCGCACAACAACCGACACCTTCACCACCTACAACACCACCCAGGCCAAACTATCCCACCTCTCCCACCTCCAATCAACATCCAACTACGCCGAAAAGGGTGTCTTCGACTACACCCACGCCCTGCAACTCTGCCACGCAACTGGCGCTCCCTATATCGCCCTGTTCGAAGACGACATCCTCCTCGCAAACACCTGGTTCATCCGCACCCTAACCGGCCTCTCCCAGATCCCGCCTTCAAAAACCAACTCATGGCTCTTCATGCGGCTTTTCAACCAGGAACGCTCAACGGGGTGGGCTAGCCGCTCCATCGGCGGGAACAACGAACACTGGATTATTCTCGCCATCGGAGTATCCATTTCCCTAGCTGGGTATCTGGCCCGGCGCCAGAGTCAGGTGGCCCGGTCGTGGGTTGATTGGGGGACCCTGGGCGTAGTGGTGTTGGTGCTTAATCCGGCAATGGTGGTACTTTTCTTTCAGGCGGGGAAGGCGTCGCTTTTGCCCCCTTCGCCGGGGGTTTATGAGGAGGGGTTCGGGTGTTGTTCGCAGGCGATGGTGTTTCCGAGGGAGAGAGTGGCGGATATTGTGGGGTTTTTGGGAGATAGGGGCAGTGGGCAGGTGGATTTGTTGTTGGATGAGATGGCTGTTGAGGGGGGGTGGGGGAGGTGGGCGATGTATCCGGTTGTTGTGCAGCATATTGGTATGTTCCTTTTGTTTTTTATTATTTTTCCCTTTTCTTTTGCGATTTTTTGGGTGGAGAAGTGGCGTTGTGGGGACTGGGTTTGGCTGATTGTGAAGCAGGTCTTGACTCGGCGAGGAAGACGGTTAAGGCTGAGGCGCAGGCGATTTGGAGTATGGCGTTTGAGGATTTGGACGCGGCGGCGTTGGAGAGGGAGCATTTGAGGTTGGTTGACGGGTATTATTCAAGGGAGATGGTGGACACTTACTGAATATTTTGCGCACTTATATTGAGTAGAGGGGGTTGTTTGGAAGATTAGTGATGCAGAATTTCTGTTCGGATTCCGCCTAGATTTGTAGTATGCCTTGAGGGATGTTGTCGAGTGCATTTCTAGATGAGGAACAGTGAGGAGGACATTCACATATAAAACTACGCTCGCAAGGTACTTCAGCAGTTACCGTCACCACAACTACAATCACCGGCCCTAACAATCACGGAGACTGCAAATGTCTACGGAAAAAATCAACATAGTCAAACAGGCTCCGCTTATACGTCCTTGTAAACTTTCCATCCGGCCGGTTCACAATCTGCAGCCCATATTGTTCCTCGTAGCTACCAAACTCATTGTTATCCGCCAAACTCCACGCCAAAGCCCAAATGACATTAATGCCATCCTCATGGATAGCCTTCAAAGTCTCTGTGAGAAAGTCCTGATAGTAAAGCGTACGCTCCAAATTATACCGCTGCGCATCGAGGGTCCGATTTGACTCAAGAAATGTGTTGAACCCGTACTCCGCGATCAAAATCCCAAATGGCCGGAACGTGTTCTAGATATAGCCAATTGCTGGCGGACTTATTGTGGTGCGAGGTACGCGGCGTTTGAGGTTAGGCCTATTAACCACCCGTTGGTTTGAACGTTGCTTAGAGTTACGCAAGTGGGCCAGAGGGGATCGGAGGAGTTAGAGGCGCAAGCTTCTGTTCCTTGCGGTAAGGGAGAGGAGTACTGTGCGGTGTACGGGTCAAAGGACCAGAAGTCGATTTTGTCGTGGATGTGCTTGAGCTGGTCATTTGTTAGAGGTTCGATTACACCTGGCGTATTTATAGCTGCATCCGGGTACTGCTTCCCTAGGAATAGAGGGTTTGACATGATTCCTAGTAGGATGTCCTGGTATCGGAAGGCTGCGGCGATGTGTGAGATGTTTTGTGTGTCCAGGGGCATGGCTAAATTGTTGGCGAATTTGAGTGTGATTTGGCCTTTTCCGCCTAACGTATACTTGTACTAGTCGTAGACGTCGGCATGGGCGATGAGTACATTTGACAGGACTTGTTATCTCTTAAGAAGAGTTCCGACGCCTATGTTTGGTTCGTTGAAGGTGACCCAGTAAGGGACTGGGTCCGCGTACCGGGTCGTAACTATTTTGGCATAGTAGAGGAAGTGCTCGGGCAAGGACTTTAAGTCTGCTTGGACTGCAGTAGGTGCATCAACATGGTTTAGAGTGATGATCGGTGTCACGCCATATGTGAGGCATGTATTGATGAGATGGTCATAATGGTCTAGGCCTTGACTGTTGATAGGCGAACCGGCGACGCCAAATGGAACTATCCGCGACCATGACAGCGAGAACGAGTAGTGTGGGATCCCAGCGGCTGCCAGTCTCGCGATATCTTGCTCGTACATGAAATAGTGCATATTCGCTACATTTGCATCGCTCCTATCAGCGGTCTCCGGGGCCAACGCATATCCAATACTATCTAGGACACTAGGGCCGCGGCCTTCCAGCTGAAGAGCACCTTCAATCTGCCAAGAGCTGCTAGAAACGCCCCAGAGAAAATCTGCCGGTAGTTTCAGACTTGTATCGGGAGGCGCATTGTACAGCGCAGGAGGTAGGGCAAGCTCTGCTTTCGCAACAGGAATAGCGGACTAGCAGACGCCGTGGTTGTAAATGGCGGGGAGCTCACAAACGAATAGCCCTTCCATAAAGCAGCGTAGGCACTTTGACCATACTGACCGTCTGGTGTGATGGTGGCTGAAGGGTCGTATGAGTATGTAGTATAGGTAACGCCGCTAGGCAACAGAGTGGATGCCTTGCTGAACGGTGGCGCAAATGGCGTTGGAAAGGATACGGAAGTTGACAGCGGCGTAGCATAGACATCGGAGGTTAGTTGCGTGTATGTAAATGAGGAGTAGGTCGGCTGTGGAGGAGCCATGATATGAGGCCTCGCAGAGGCTATCAGAGTCCGACTTGCGAGATGAAGCCCACCATCAGCCAATTTCTTAATATGACCATGATTCCCAGGAGTGTCAGTTTAGCATCTTAGAACTTTGATGGTCCACTCCACCCGCTCTCAGCTTAAATACGAGTCATTGAGGGGATTTCCTGACTGGCTGTATGACCTCGTCGGATCATCCGGTATACCTCCACACTTTTTATTGCGGGGGACGACGATCGTTCATGGCTCGGATTACCGAGGGGCACTTTTCCTGCACGGTCTGCAAGTCCAATCCAAGCTCGAGCTGTCATCATCATCGCGGATCCAGCACAGGGAAAGCACCTTGGAAGAACACGTCCACCCAATTATCCTTCCTGATATCCACAATATTTGGCATATTAGGCCGAATGAGGGTCAATATACACCTTAGTTGTGGGTTAAACAGGTTTTAGTCCCTCATGATCCCACCCTTGCAGCAATCCAGAAATGAAACATCCGTTCGGTCAAGGATGAACCGAGAACGAGTACGAGGAATCTGGAGAAGGAATGATATACATTGCGGGGGGAGGGAAATGTGGAGGGAGATCTGCATACAAAACGAAAGACCTCAATGGTCCAATGAACAAGCCGAAGTAAAGCCGACCGAATGCGGGGAAACGGCATCCCACAATCGCCAAATATCCGACAATCACTGCTAGACTATAACAGTCTTTTTAAACTATATTCAACGATGTCCTACCATCTTTCAATCGTGGTCAGTGGCGAAGGTAAAGACCCCAAATATCGATCTCATTGGGCTTTCGCAATCCACCAACCGGTCAAAGTTGTCGGTGACCTTTTACATGTCCGGCCCATCGATATAGGGCGGCTGTGGTACGAATTTGAACATCGCTCGGACTCAGACCTCATTCTGGTGGATGCCATCGGGTTGGCAAAAATTGCAGACTGGGATAGCCCACAGCGTCTACAGGCAATCAGTGTGATAAGGGATGAGAAGGCCCCAAAGGATGGGGTGAGACGATGTCAAGATTGGGTCTTTAGCGCTTTGATCGCGCTGGAGGTGGAGGAACTTGTTCCCGCTGGGACATCGGAAATTTGGAAAGACTTGATGGGGAAGACCGCGACGGAGGTAGAGAGGGCTGTTGGCACGAATTGGACGAGTTTCCGTGGCTTCCAGAGTTCACTGAGGTAGCGTAGTGAAAAGGTATGCTGCATCTCCTTATCGATCCACTGCTCAGCTCTTTCCAGTGATCCAAAGCAAGTGCTCATATCGTATAGACGTCGAGGACTGACGAGTGAAGGCGGTGCAACCAAATCATTGAACCATTATGATACGTGTACTAATGAAACTTATGCGCTACGAGATCAGACAAAATATTACCATCAAAGCTCCTTACTCCATTGCCTCCCACTCCACAATTTGTCAGTTGTCCACAGCCAGTAGTCTCGCCCCTTCATCAACCATATCAGAAAGTTCGGCAGCTGATACCCCATGGCCGCCCCGACACCTTTGCTCCTCCCAATTGGCACTATTTGGGTCTCCCGAGTATCTTCCTTGAACAAGCGATCTTCGCCAGCGGAGCTCTCGTCCGTCCCGGCCGCGAGGAGTAGGTCCCGCTTAATATTAGCACAAAGGACCGGGACTGCTTCGACAATAAAGTGGACAGTTGGCCGTGCCCATGATGACACGTCACCAATTGCATACACGCGCGGCCCGGCTTTCTCAACTCGGAGAGTCGAAGAGTTGGTCTCGACACGACCATCAGCTGTCAAAAGTGATGGGTCAATGAAACCAGCGTTCGGTCTTGTACCCGTTGCGGGAATGTACAGGTCGCCGTCGAGAGTGTGCCCATTGTCAAGAGTCACTGTCGTCCTCGCTGTTAACGCATTCTCGCTGTCGGCGCTAGGTGCCACATCTACGACGCGTGCGTTCTTAACGACGGTCACTCCTACTTGAGCAAGGTACTGTTCTGCCAGGCTTGCAAGGCTAGGGCGTAAGAGTGGCAGGATCTGTGGCCCAGAAGTGACGACTGTGATGGGCACCTTGGGGTTTGCCAATTTGGAGCAGAACCACCCAGCACGGCCGTTTAGATATTCGCCAACTTCACCGGCAGTCTCAACACCGGCTGGCCCCCCACCAGAGATGACAATACTCTTGGCCGTTGGCAAGGCTTTTCGAAATGCCGTCCAATTTGCTCGAAGGTCTCCGATGTCGCGGTTCAGACCCAGAAGAGGGGAAGGCGTTGACGAGCCGGTCGCGATCACAAGAGCGTGAAAGTCAATCGTCTCTGCAGTTTCCTCGTCGGTAGGACTCACGAAAATATTCCGATTGGCATGATCTAGCTTTGTTGCGGCGCCGTGGATAAAGCGAAAGTTACGAATCGGGTCATCATGGTACTGCTCGAATACTTTGGGGATGCTAACGAAGAGTTTCTCTTGGTCAAAGAACTCGTCTGCGATCAGCGCACGGGGGCAAGCAGATCTGCACATCGTGTGCGAAGATGCGCTAACCAGAATAACTTGATATTCCTCTGGATGTGGTAACTTGGGCACCACATGTTTGAGGAGGTAATGGGCAGTCGACACGCCTCCATAAGAGCCTCCAAGAATAACAATGTTCCAATGCCTTGCTGTCGCCATTCTGCTGGTTTTGTTCCCAGTTGCAATCTAGTAGTATAGTACGAACGAGATTCACGAATAAGAGCTCAAAATCGATAGATAAATCGAGGTTCTAAAGCTGGGCAGAGTCCTGGGAAGCAGAAAAGACCGTAGCCTGTGATCGAAATGAGCAGAGCGCATTTTAAAGGAATTTCTGAGCGATCTCATTGAGGATGTTGTTCGACGGCGGCTTTTCGGCTTCTCGGCCTTCCGAAGATAGGCAGCTCAACATACGCATCAACTGATAAGCGCTAGCAACAACTAGCTCTATTATCGACGATTTTGTGGCTATTGAAAACTCCAGCAATTGCCAGGATTAATATGCCCTTCTCACCGATGATGCATTAAATTCCGGAAATTAATCAGCCGGCAAATCGCTTCTATATTAGTCTAACACTGGACGTCAGGCCCACGGGTTCAGATTGACAAAATTGGGATAGAGTCCAGGAAAAGTCACTATCTTTCCATCATACATGCTGTCCAATTAGCCTGTGGTATGTATTGTCTGATCAATCTATTGAACCATATGTGAAGTAAGAGTAGTATATCATCAGTCGTACGTCTATCAAGAAAGGCAGGGGCGCTATCAGTGGCCTTCGCTTATTTACTCGCTATCACTGGCACTGTCATGAACAGAGCCGTTGCCCGCATCATCTCTCAGACCCTCTGCAAGGACGTACTCTGTTTGCTGAAGAGTCGACTTAATCTCCTGGTTATTGTAAACAAGGTCCGCGGGCTTTTGACCATGCTTATTCCTGACCCGCGGGTCACAACCAGCGTCACACATCATCTTGATCATCTCCAAACCCAGTTCGGGGTCCTTTTCGTTGGCGTAGCGTACAGCAGTATGAAGGGGGGTATCTTTATCGAGGCGTGTGAGAGGGTCACATTCAAAGTATTGAATATCGAAGAGAGAATCCATTGTATCATCTACCGCGGGATTGCATTAGAAAAAGTTTCTTCGGCTCCGCGTCCCAAACACAAAGAATAGCCGCTTGGTGGTGTTTGGGGGGGGGGGGGAGGGAGATATTTTAATCATCCATCCGACTTACAGCTGCCATATGCAGCACAGATATGGAGAGCATGGTTCCCCATTGAGTCTGTGACGCCGTTGAAGAACTCGGCCACTTGTTCGTTCGAACTCCCTTCCATGCCCTCTAGTACTTGTTCAATCAGATGAGGCTGGTCTCGGCGACAGGCCTCGACGACCAGCTCACGGGGAGATGCACCCTAATCGATTAATCATAAGTGACCGAGTAGGTTGCCGCATAGTTAACAAAAGAAACGTACTTCATCCGCCATAGCTGCCTAATTGAGGGGTATTCCTAGTAAATCAAAAAGATCCCGGGGTTTGCTCGAACGTGTTGTTTGAGGAGACAGGAAACGTGGGGAAACCACAATAGCTATGGGATATTATCGCAAGGATGCAAGCGCAGATATCATAAAGAGGCGGTGTATGTTCAGCACGGGGAATCCGCAAATTACTATGAATCGCGATATTAGTATGTACGTTAACAACAATTAAGTTTCCCGTAGACTTTTGGACAACGAATGTCTTTAAAATAAAAAATATTAAAAAAAAAAAAAACCAAAGACAACGGATAGCCACGGGAGGCAACTTACCGGAAGGACTTTGGCTTAGTGCGCAGTAGTTAGTAGTAGTGGTAGGAGTATGTATCAACTCTCCTGACTTGATTCCCCGCTGCGCTACGGAGTCCTGCACGTCCGCTGCGGATAGCCGCTCGGATTATCATTGACCCAGTTTGGATCATTCAGCTCCAATCTGCCCCGCGTCCAATCGGCGCCTACCTATCTACATAACTTGCCTAAGAGCCGCAACCCAAAGGCGGTGAGCTTAATTTCTCTCCGCCAACGACAAAGCTTGTCTGATATCAACGGACCAAATAAATGTGCAGGAGCCCTTGCTGCGGAACTGCGACAGTAGTTTCATCTTATTCTTAAGTGCCGCGATTGAGGGCTACGTAATACAAAGGATTCGCTACGTCCCGATTAACTAAATATTGTCCGCGGTTGACATTTGATTTGCAGCGAGAATCTGTCCAAAATGCCCTTGACTTGTTAGTTGCTCCTTTCCTAAATTTCAGAACTCAGCTAACTGGAGGCCCCTTTGCTATATGTAGTCTGCCCTAACTGCAGTAATGCACTAACGATCTCCCGCGCGGAACCGACTCCCAGACACCCACTCGGGGTCAATCGATTCGAGTGCCGGACCTGTCCTTATCAATATGTTTTGGAGCAGAGCTATTTCGAGAAAACGGAAATGAAACAAAAAGAGGTGGAGGATGTCTTCGGTGGGAAGGAAGAATTCGCCAATGCAGATAGCGTGGGCAGTAAGTGGTGGCAGTCTTCGCAAGTGACGTGGTTGAGACTAACATCTGATTTTTCCTTCACACTTCCAGCCCAATGCCCCGCAGAGAACTGTAATGGTGACCGTGCATATTTCTTCCAGCTGCAAATTCGAAGTGCAGATGAACCTATGACTACGTTCTTAAAGGTGGGTGACTTGCCAGTTCATGCGGACGGCTTGCATATATCTCGCGTACTGACTCGGTCAACAGTGTACCAGCTGCGGTGCCCGGTGGAGAGAAAACTGAGGGTTTTTCTTCCTTGTTTTTATGTTTCAAGAAAGAGCAAACCTCAGATGCACTCTTATAGCTAAATGTGTGGGTTACCGGTTGGGAAAAGAAAAGAGAAAAAGAGTAGCGGTGCTATTTATTTCTGTTAACAGCTTTAGAAGGTCGTTGTACATTTCTTAGGAGTATGGTGGTTTACATCTAGTCTAGCTTAGCGATACCCCTCAATGGTTACTATGATAACTATCGATCTAGTACGTAGTCCATATATGCGGATACGTAGCTATGGAAGATCAGCAGACAATTTCTTTCTTCTTTTTTTTTTTTTTTTTTAGCGGCGGCAGATAATCACCCATTTAGGATTGGAGGGAAGTTATCATCCATGGTAAGCTTGTTGGGTTTCTACCAAACACGGGACCTGCTTTAATTTATTTTCTATTTTACATAAATATCCCATACGAAAAAATTTTCATTTCCCACCGCCTATGATAGGCACAACCCATTAACCAAAAAGAAGGTAGTAAAGAAGTCTGAGACAAAGTACTAGGAATTAGTCTAAATGAGGGGCACACACAACAGTGATCATATGTTAAAACTGTACGAAAAGAAAAAGAATAGACTAAAAAAAAATTTCTGACATTGATACGTAGCTTGACTATTACCTCTTAGGAAACAATCTACGTATCTAGGGAGACGAGAGAGAGGGAAAAAAAAAAATAAAAGAGAAGAGATTTCCACTGTGGATCAGACAGGCGCGCCACAGCTGCTTGGGTGTTGACCCTGAGCGAACCAATCGTGTACTCGGGTTGCCGCGGGGTTCTTATGCAAACAAGTACAACATCCATCCCACCTCTGCGTTGATGCCCAGTTTGCCTGTCCAAAATCCACCGGAATGGTTGGAACAAAAACAGGAGGCGTGAAAAAATTTCATCGTAGAGGCCGATGGTGGGGTCGAGGTCGGCTCTCCGAGCGAAAGGGAACCAAGGAAACGCAGGATCTTCGAGGTTGGTGTACCCAAAAAGAACGCAGCAAGTCAGTCAACGCCCAAACGCAGACAGTCTGGAAGGGACTCCGCCGTGCAGATTCTGCGTCGGTCCCGCACATGCGTGGTGGGGCATTACCCCTCCATGTCCAATGATAAGCAGGCCGGCCGAGGGCTTAAGCCCGCCCACTAATTCGCCTTCTCGCTTGCCCCTCCATATAAGGATTCCCCCTCCTTCCCCTCCCACAAGTTTTTTCTTTCTTTCTCTCTTCGTCCGCATCAGTACGTATTTTATCCCCCCTTGCCTGCTTTCATTCACTTTCTTCCATCATCTTGCATTACTGACCACTTATTTGCTCAGTACCTCTACGCGATTAGCCGTAGTATCTGAGCAAGTTTTTTTTCTACAGAATCTTTCTAGTATCTTTCAAAGAACTACAAAGTTCCATATACCGTCAAAATGGGGTAAGCTGGCAGAACATCATCCATATGCTATCATCGTTGTGTGAAGGCGGTTGAACTAACTGCGTTCTCTTCGACAGTAAGGAAGGAAAGACTCACGTCAACATCGTCGTTATCGGCCACGTCGATTCCGGCAAGTCCACCACCACTGGTCACTTGATCTACAAGTGTGGTGGTATTGACCAGCGTACCATTGAGAAGTTCGAGAAGGAAGCTGCCGAACTCGGAAAGGGTTCCTTCAAGTACGCTTGGGTTCTTGACAAGCTCAAGTCCGAGCGTGAGCGTGGTATCACCATCGATATTGCCCTCTGGAAGTTCCAGACCGCCAAGTATGAGGTCACCGTCATTGGTAAGCTTCAACCCCCCCAGGCTATACTATTACCTGTCCGTCATCTAACAGTCGTTCATAGATGCCCCCGGTCACCGTGATTTCATCAAGAACATGATCACTGGTACCTCCCAGGCCGATTGCGCTATCCTCATCATTGCCTCCGGTACTGGTGAGTTCGAGGCTGGTATCTCCAAGGATGGCCAGACTCGTGAGCACGCTCTGCTTGCCTTCACCCTCGGTGTCCGTCAGCTCATTGTTGCCCTCAACAAGATGGACACCTGCAAGTGGTCCGAGGACCGTTACAACGAAATCGTTAAGGAGACCTCCAACTTCATCAAGAAGGTCGGATACAACCCCAAGAACGTTCCCTTCGTTCCCATCTCCGGTTTCAACGGTGACAACATGCTTGAGCCCTCCCCCAACTGCCCCTGGTACAAGGGTTGGGAGAAGGAGACCAAGGGTGGCAAGGTCACCGGTAAGACCCTCCTCGAGGCCATCGATGCCATCGAGCCCCCTGTCCGTCCCGCCAACAAGCCCCTCCGTCTTCCCCTCCAGGATGTTTACAAGATCTCTGGTATTGGAACTGTGCCCGTCGGCCGTGTCGAGACCGGTGTCATCTCCCCCGGTATGGTCGTGACCTTCGCTCCTGCCAACGTCACCACTGAAGTCAAGTCCGTTGAGATGCACCACCAGCAGCTCAAGGAGGGTCTCCCCGGTGACAACGTTGGATTCAACGTCAAGAACGTTTCCGTCAAGGAAGTCCGTCGTGGTAACGTTGCCGGTGATTCCAAGAACGATCCCCCCTCGGGCTGTGCTTCCTTCAACGCCCAGGTCATCGTCCTTAACCACCCCGGTCAGGTCGGAGCTGGATACGCTCCTGTCCTCGATTGCCACACCGCTCACATTGCTTGCAAGTTCTCTGAGCTCCTCGAGAAGATTGACCGCCGTACCGGAAAGTCTGTTGAGAACTCCCCCAAGTTCATCAAGTCTGGTGATGCTGCCATCGTGAAGATGGTTCCCTCCAAGCCCATGTGTGTCGAGGCCTTCACTGAGTACCCTCCTCTCGGTCGTTTCGCCGTCCGTGATATGCGCCAGACTGTTGCTGTCGGTGTCATCAAGTCCGTTGAGAAGTCTGCTGGCGGTGCCGGCAAGGTCACCAAGGCCGCCCAGAAGGCCGGCAAGAAATAAGCTGGTTAATATGTGCGGGGATGCAATTATGAACCTTTTATGAGCACAAAAATATGGAATTTTCACGGAATTAGACTTAGGTTATGTAGTTGATCCTACAGGACTTGAATCATGAATTTTTTCGTTCAATTTGTTGCCCCATTGCGAATGTAGATTTACTTTCCACGTCCGGTAGTCGAATAGCTTCAATATTCTGATATCTGTATACAATCCCAGATTCTTATCCGACCAATCATGTCGCGCCGCACCTGGCGGAATCTTCGCAGCAGTAGTAGGAGTATTCAGTGCCTTCCTGAGATTTACACATCATTGTTATTGTATCCAACGTGCTTAATTGATTCATGTATGTCTGCGCTTTCGGACTATTGGCTAACAAATGCTCACGGAGCTGCTTGCCATGTACGTAAGGTAATGAATTTACTTTTAATAGTTGTTCTGTAGGCATCATCTTTTTGTTTATCAGTATCATTGGCCTTGCCTTCAGTGACTCTGTAATCCCTATAGATTTATCAACACTCATCTTATTAGTGTATACCACCTATTGCTTGGACTAGATGCCACCTATATCTGCTGAGCTTTATTCAAAGAAGTTAGTTGTACGAACGGCCATCTAAAATTCCCTTCGATAATTCTTGAAGGTAGTAAATATATAATGTCGCTTCATAGTGATTTTACTAGACCCATATTGTCCTATCACCACCACCCACCATTTAATACCACAATAAACAGTGATATACTTCCAATTCCCGTGAGCACATAACCTGTTTCTCAAACCTGTGTGCACACTACATAAAGTTTTGTTTGATGCATTATCACCTTGATTGATCCTATCTTTGGGTTGACATTTCACATTACCCGACGATATCACCCCGCCATTTCTTGAATTCGTAGTATAATATAATAATTTTTATCTTTAGCAACGTAATGAAGGATAGCGAGAAGGCTGTAGTAAGCTTGAATTGCGGTGAATCTAGTTTTCGGCGTACTACTAGCACACGGTTGCCTGCAACAGAGTCATACGCTTGAGTGTCGATAAGCACTCCGGGACGGTTAGTTCTTTCTGCCGGTTTCTCTTTACCGCTTGAATTACCGCTATACAGGACAACCCGATGGGTGGACCTTTCCGCTAACCATAATGGTGAAGATACTCGCCGCTTTTGGCAGCAATCTACATGCTCTTGAAGTTTTATACATGATCTTCCTTCCATGTGTTATTCATGTATATACCTAGTGTGTCATGGCAACAAATCTGCAACTGCAAACTCTATGAAAAAAGGTGAAAAGTGTGAACAGGCGGCCTTTCTTCTATCTCGTAGTTGGTTTCATACCTGAGGCTATTTACCGTCAAGTAGGATTATACACTCCACTCCTGAGCCCTTCCCCGCATTGCACCCTGCAAACGTTCGCCTGAGAAGCTAGTCATGATGAGCAAGTGCCTAACCAGACAGATTTGAGCGTTCCTTGGTTCCCTGAAGAGGTGTACTCTACTTAACTACGCGGAGTTCTCTACAAACGCGATAATGCCTTCTTGTTTCAGAAGCTTTTAAGTTCTTTATTACCATCCTACTCAACCTATATCATGGATCCTTTCTCATATTACACAATCAATCTGATCGGGAATAGCCGGGGCTGTGGCAGCCCCCGGTAGTTAATATATCGGTGTCTGGGATTGCATTTTTCTCTTTCCCTTTCGACTCATCTCTCAAATTTCCAAGATATGGCTCCGCTGGCTTTGGACAGGATTCCAATAGAACTGATCGAGATTGTTGTTGAGTTTCTTGGATCCCAAGACCTCTGTGCTCTTCGTTTAACTGCGCGCAGCATTTCAGGCAAATCATCCAATGGTCGATTTCGTGAGAATTTCAAATCCAAGACACTACACATTGCCAAAGCCCCCTTGGAAGATTTTGCTCGCGTCACCCAACCAGGTCAGCAACTTACTCTACAACACTATGCGGTGCCAAATCCCGGAGATTCCGACGGGTGTTTTGGCCTGCTAGTGCAAGGAATGGAGAACCTACGCATTAACACTTCACATGGTTGCTTGGTGTCCCTGTCTCTTTCCCTCCGCGGAATAAAGGATTCAGAATATGAGGGATATGATGCCGCTGCAAAACTATTTAAACGTTCTATGCTAGCACTCAGCAACAGCAAATTGCCCGTGCAGATGTTGGATATCTTCGCCAAAGATTACCCCCGCGGCTGTGCGTTGGCTTGCGGTGAAATAATGGCAGTTGTGGAGAAGACGGATCTATCGTCCTCATTCAGAAGGTGTAAAAATTATGTCTAAGCTTGTCACATTGTCTACTCGATATTGATAAGGAGTGGCGGTCTCCGCTTTCTTTCACTGAAGCCCGAGAACACGCCTGATTTATTTATGATTTCGTGACCATGTTCCCAGTGCTAGAGGAACTTGATTTGGCATGGGAGTTTCAAGATATCGACTACAGCGATGCTATTGAGGAAGAAGAACATTTCTTCAATCGAATTGCGTATTTGTGCATTCCCATCTCTCAAGAAGTGCACTCTTCGGAACATTTGTACTTCCGCGGCAGCACTGCTTTTATTTCTCCATAACGTTCAATTGGCCAGTCTATCAATTGGAAAGGTGCGGCTGGCCAGTGGGAAGTTTGAGTCCATTTTTCATCACCTATCTACTTCCATGCCGAATTTGGAATACTTGCATTTCCACCAGCTGGTGCATGACACAGGTACTGCTTATTTCAATGCACCTAGCGTGCGCCGATTTCCTCCTGTCAGGAATGGGAACAACAGAAGAAACCGGGGACCTATTGCCATTACACGAATGGGTGCCGACGCAAGGAAACTGGTGGAAATCATTGATCGGTATCATAGGGCCGACACCTCAGCCGAGCGGATGTAGTAAGTTAGGCGTCTATCTCCTGATCAGAGACAGAATCAAGGGATATTATTGGGAAACAGTTCACGATCCACGCGGTTTGCTTCGCCTTCGTCCGGTCTGGCTAGGTAAACACAGAAGTGGATGTAGTCTACTGAATTGCCGATGAGGCTTCCTGCCATGTCTTCGGCTGATGCTTGGAGGACCGGTCGTCCGTGTGTGACTCGTACATCATTGGTGCCTGGCTTGCTGCGGGTGGTATGTAGATCTTCGTGTACGAGGGGAGGAGTCTTTTAAAAGGTGTGGCACGATGGTGTTACCGGTGACGCCTGTCAACCCCAGGAGTATGGAGTCATTACCAGGATTCGATTGTAGTCAAGCATGACAAAGGCGGAAAGAAGAGGTTTTCTCGAAGTATGGTCTGCCTACCAGTAGCACCTGTGACTATTGCGGTAGGCATATTCGTTCTGAGTTGACTATATTGTTGATCTGACCGCTGAATAAAAGCAATGGGTGCGCCCACTTTCAGTCCCGTAAATGGTTATGTCTAGACCACCATGAATCGTTTTTATGCAGAAGGCAATCTCATATCGCCAACGGATTTAACGGTCCGGGTCTCTAGATCTGATGTCGACCCATACACCGATCTCGAGTTCGAGCTACACTATCTGCCACCCTTCTTAAGACCTTAACCGCAAGTTCAGGGTTGGCGATAAGAACACTATTTCCAGTCTCTTGGCTTAGAAAATGCTCGATATTTAATGAAATGATGCTAGAAACAGTGTCCCGGAGCTCATGTTCCTGAGGAGTACATTGCCATATTTCCTAAACGATTTCAGAGAAGTTCGCGGACCTGCAGTTCGATCTCAACCAATATCCAAGTCGTGTAGATTTTGGAGAGGCGGGATGTCGAACTTATCCGCGGCTAGGTATACTTTGAGGTTGTTAGCAGTGCCATGCTATCTATAACAGCCAAATAGTTAAGTTACTTCAAATCCACCCTTTAAAGCAGAGGCAAAGAATGGCGAACGGAGGACATATAATGGCACAGTGTACCATGTACTCATGTCCTCCACAACAAATGGTCGTGTCCGTTTATTTACCACTGTCGAAGATTGTTTTCATCTCGACCTGAAGATCTGAGAAGCCCTTGGTGAAGAAGACCTTTATCTTAAATGAATACATGCAGTGAACTAGAATGCATTTCCAGATCAAACGAAAGCTTGTTTAAAGTACTTTGGATACTATATCATGATGAGGTCAGTCTAAGTAAAAGTGGAATCGTGGTCCTATTATCCATACTTATTTTTATTCTCCCATTCATTCATCAGGAGAAACTTCGATGGAGTAGAGAGTAGCGGGGGCTCTAGATTCAGCTTAAAAATTTAAAGTATATGTCTCCGAATAGAGGCGTGCTTTGCTTATCATGCAGGAACGTGTCTATGTGAGCACATAACCCCTGAAAATTCAACCGTGTAGAAAGCCTCGTGATCTTCGATCCTATAATCGACCTCTGATTGCTAAATCTTAGGGTTAGGTACAACTTCACAAGAAATCCCCTGTATTTTGATTCTAGAACGTCGCCGGGATGGTGTTTGAGCCAGAGCATCACGGCCTTCCGTGCGATGTAGTTGATTTGGTGTAATATCTTGGGACACTATATGGAGCTCATTCCTCACAAAATCATGATTGTCTGCTTCCTATCTAAGCTATCTTCAGCACGAACACCTAAATCCGCTTACCGGCCAGATCATCCCACTGGCCGGTCCAATCAGGCCTGCCAGCCGGAATTCCCAGCCAACATAATATCTTGTCAGAGGATGACGGCTCGTCGAATACTACGCTCATCCGCTGCTCTATTTATGATATCTTGGCCTAGCTCATAAGTTTTTGACTTTGAAATCCCTTGTGACCTGTGTCTGATGTCTATTCTTGAGCATGTTCGTCAGCAACGGACTGAGCTGCGACACGCTCAATCTTTGCAAGCTTGAGTCCGAGCAACATCCAGAAAATTTGCCTAGTCTTTCACTGCCGCATAGAGGTACTCCATGTCAATGAAATGGTCCAGTGCGAATGGCCAGGGCAGAACCAAAAGGCCCACAAGACTTCGTTAGAACCATCTGTCAAGGTTATCTTTACTAGTGTTTTCCCAGTCCCTGAGGGACCATAGATTAGTCTAATCGGGTCATGAATAGATCGGAGGCCTCCATATCCCCGGGTTCTGGTTAAGTAAAGTACCTGACATGAACTATACTCTTGGTGGACAACTAGGATCACTGCTGTCGAGACTATAAGCTGTTTCTGTTTTGTCTTGTGTTCAATAGAAACAGGATTCTCCATAACCATGTAGCCAAGAGGTCGCCGAGCCGACATAAGCATAGTGATTGAGAGCAGTTGGGTCATTTTCATCTCTGTAAATGAGCTTCAGATAGGCACCGCAATGCCGACAATCACTTTTCCATGGAGGACTCAATATGTCCTGAAAGGTAGGAGCTTCTTCTCGATCCAAAAGATCTTTGACTTTAGTCGGGGTGTAAGTGACAATTTCACGTACAATATCATCGTCCTTCCACTTGTTGTGATGGGTCATCCCCCCAGGGGTTCAATTGTAACCCTGTTCTGTCTTTCGAACGGTTCAAAGCTCATTTTGGATGGAGTCTTTTGCAGTTGTTTCTGAGAGCATGGAATAGTGGAGAGACACCATTATCGTCTTTGGCATCAAGGCTAACATCATCTTTAATATCGACTGCTCGCTAGGTGAGAATCTCGGTAGTGCTGATCCGGCTGGTCCCCCGCGGCGCAAAATAATGCTGATTTTGAGGTATGTAAGTTACACACGTAAAGGTAGGGTAAGTTAGCGTCTAGTTCTTGGAAATGATCTGCAATGTGAAGAACTATACCGTCTGGTAAATGAAGCAACGACACCGGGAAGATATCCCTACAAACATCGTAGCTGACGAAGATGGAGCGATCCAGTTGTTGGGACTATGATGAGGAATGCCGTCTGGTCGAGCGCATGTCAATCTAATTGTGGTTGAAGACGGTGTGAATGTTTCCACTTGAGATCCAAGCAGGACTGTCAGGAGACTTGGAAGGTTTGGCGAGACGTCGAAGGGTGGAAGGCTTTGGGAGAGGCTGGCTCGGGTCCTAGAGAACACAAGGTCTTGGTAAAAAGCTTGTGATGAGAATGGACGTATGTACGATTATATTCTTGAAGCTTTATAGACTATGATACTCATGGATTGGAAGGATATACACTGAAGGAGAGCATGCCGGGATAATGTGCGGGAACACATTGCCCAACTCATGACTTGATTTAAAGGGGTAAGGAGGAAGGAAAGTACAGCAGGTTAAAGAGGGGGTTATTGGCTCCTTTATAGACAGCAAGAAGGCCTTTAGTGCATGGATTATCTTGCTAGAAGCTGTAAAATGTTGTACTTATTCACGATGATACTTGAATATTGCACATACAAATGGGGAGGTACAGTCTTGCCACATAATCCATTTATTGATTACGCATTGCATGATCTATTTCTAGTGATATACTCGGCGAAACCCTATTTTGAAATTGAAGGAAACTGAAGGTGATAGTAAAAGGAAGTCAAGGTGAACTAAATTTAGTACCTCACGGCTCTAGGTTAAGGAATTTATGCGGATCATTGTATCTCCGAGGGATGATCTTACATAAGGAGATCATCGGCATCTGATAAGTCTGGCCAATGAACAGCCCGCAAGAACCAAGCCCCACGCTAAGACTCAAGCAGGAAAATCAAAACAAACAAAGTGGAGGTTGTACTATGGAGATGGACAGACAAGATTCTCAAGCAAACAACCCGAGCGAATATGATCAAGTAAATGTTATTATGATAGTATACTCCAGTCTCTCTCGCCCCATAGACTGAACCCAGTAAAATTGTCCAGAAAAGGACCTGATGTCTCAGCCAAATATGTGCGGGTAACAGATTCAGTGTGGAACTACTGTTGGCATTTTAGAAAGCCAAAGACTGATAAGAATGAATCGCAATTGAACATGAACTATAAGTCTCAAATCCAAGAGCCAAATTACATATCAAATGGACCTAATTTCCAACATAAGACTAGCAGAAAAAGAGGCACTCTACCGTGCTAGTTCGTAAGCACCCCCATACCTATAGCGCAACCATCTATGGTAAACAAACTCAATCACAATAGCAACACCTGTCGTGATCCAAAAGAATTAGAGCGCAAAGGAAAAATAAAAGCAAAAGGAAGGCACGAAATACCATTCATTTGGCGTTACACAGCAGTAGTTCTTCTGACCGTCAATTCCATCTCCTTTCAGGGCAACCGTTTGCCTGCAAGGTTCAGCGGACGCGGACCTAAAACCAAGCGGACAATCATCACACCCTCTCGGGTTTTACTTGCCGCTTGTTTTGTTTTCACTTTCATCCTACCTTTCCTCTCCTCTCGACCTTGGAGTTTAATTTTATCGTTGCTTATTTTGTATTTCTTTTTTCTGTCACCTTGACATTCCCCTTTCCGAGAGAAAGAATCGAGATTAGGTACGACTCCGAGAATACCGTTCATGGGGTTTCGAGTCGAATACTCACACCAGATCTCTTCCAGGCCAGCGCTGAGTGCCGGTGCCTCAGCGCCTATTTGATGTCGCATTGAATATGATCTATATATCGCAGTTTACGCGCCAGACACGAACACTATATCTATAGCACACGAAATTACAAGGGATTCCCGGGCCTTGCTGGGAACCCGCAAACGCAAATCCTAGACAGTCCGTTTGCGAACTAATCGAACCACCTCGACATGGATGGTCCTCCACCCCCTCCTCCCCCTCACGGCGAGAAACCGAATACCACCTATGGTGAGGAGTACCGGAAGGCATCGGACCTCCCCGAAGGAAATTATGACATCTTCGTCATCCCACCACACTCTTCCGGATCGGGATTTCTATACCTCCCTTCTCTACAATGTCAGCGAAATAGCTTCATCGCTGGCTCCGTATGCACCTTATTCGTTGTCCTTATATGGTCATTTATATCTCCTGTCGTGAGAACATGGTATATAGCTGCTGCCGCGAGCGGTGGCGGAGGCGGAGGAGGAATGGGGATCGGTCTTTTGGGGATTGGTGTTGGGATAGCGGGATGGGGATTTGGCGTGTACCAAGCTGGATTTGGCAGCTCGCAATCCGGTGGAAAAGAGCGGTGGGGGCCTAGGCGTGGTTCTGGCGCTGGGGGTGCTGGAGGGGCTTATGCTCGCGGATCGAACTTCAGTGGTAACGCTGGTGGACAACGGGGAAATCCTGGAGGAAACTATGGAGATCCTCCGCCTGGGAATCAGTATGGTGCCGGTCCTCCGCCTCAGACACCCCCTCCTAACGCTGGTCCAGGGCCAAATAGATCCGACTCGGCGAGGGCCGAGGAGAAGGCCCGACAAGAAGCAAAAGCTCGTGAAGAAAGAGCCCGAGAAGAGAAAGCTAGAGAAGAAAAGGCTCAAGAAGAGCGTGTCCGCGAGAAGAGAGCTCGGGAGGAGAGAGCTCGGGAGGAGAGAGCTCGAGAGGAAAGAGCTCGAGAGGAAAGGGCCCGCGAAGAGAAGGCTCGTGCAGAAAAGGAACGTGAAGAAAAGGCCCGTGAAGAAACGAGGCGAAAGGAAGAGCTTCGTCGGAAGATGGAGGAATTCAAGCGGAAGAGAGAGGCTGACCAACGAGAAAAACAACGACAGCGCGATCGCGAGGCAATGGAGAAGGAACTGCGTGAGCGTAGGGAGCAGTTCGAGAAAGAGATGGCTGCTGCCAGAGAAGCAGCAGCGAAGGAGGCACGAGAGCGTGCTGAGAAGGAAGCAGCCGAGATCCGCGAAAAAGAAGCGAAAGCCGCTGCGGAAGCGAAAGAAAAGGCTGAACGGGAAGCTGCTGAAGCCAGAGCCAAGGCGGAGAAGGAAGCTGCAGAGAAGGAAGCCGCCGCGAAAGCTGCCGCGAAAAAGGAGGCTGATGCCAAATTTGCAGCCCTCAAAGAGGCCGCGGCAAAGAAGTATGCCGAGAAAAAGGCCAAAGATGCACAAGAAGCAGCAGCGAAGGAGGCCGCCGCGAAGGCAGCCAGGGAGAAAGCAGGGAGCGCATCGGTCCCTCCCCGAACTCCATCACCGAAGAAGCCGCCTCCTTCTGGGGCACGGACTACGACGTCCGCCGACCAAGACGATGCATATTCCTTTCGACCATATGACAGACCTAGGCGGCCATATGGGGGTACGTCAAGCTCATCAGCGTACTCCGAATCATCTTATGCCCCTTCGCAATCTACGGCTCGGACTTCGCCTCCACCATCAACTAGAGGACGGTATGAAACTAAAGACCCTGATAAGATTGTTATCAAGGCTGTTTTCGAGTTCAACAATGCGTTTATCAAGACCCCAGCAGCTCAACTAGTCTCTGGACAGGGACTGGTGTCGGATGGTCTGGTTCTGCGCATCACTACTGAAGGGCTGTTTATTGATGATGATATCCGGGGGGTGGGTCAGCGAGAGTGGGACGTGAAGGCGTGGACGATAAAATTGACGGAGGTGTGGTGCCCACAATATGCCTCTCAAAAGCACAACCCACCCAAGCAGAGCTCATTCTTTGGCCGACGGGATGAAGGACCAACCTCGGGGGAGTCCGATGCGTACCTGGTGAATTTGTTGAAAGTATGCAAGAACAAATGTCGCCTTGCGCCGCCAGGACCCCATTCTGAGAAGCAGGGGCTCCATGTACTACGAGCTAGCATACGTGACCAGGAAGGACGGAAATATCTCTTCATCTTGGAAGAAACAGAAGGTTGGAAGGTGGGTATTGGACTCCAGCGGCTTCGAAAGAGCTCGCTAGCTCGGTCCCTAGGAGTGACGAATCTATCGGCCAATGAGGGCCGCTCAATACTCGGAAACCTTGGATATATCTAATTCGCCCGGGTGATCTTCGATTCCTGCTTTACGCTACATATCATTCCCCATATCACACATAGCGCGACGTTATCTCAAGCTCCAGCCTTGCATAGTGTCATTGACGACTCGACGTTCGTTTGTACAGAGATTCCCCCTGTTGTTGATTGCTCATGAAGTTGACGATTTATTGCTATCCACATATATCTCTATTTGTATATAATGCAGCCCGGAAGTTCATATTGAAACAAACCCTTTCTTATATAGCCGCCTGCTCCCAGCCGGAGCGGTTAGGCCATACCTCCATCAACCTGACATGATCGTAGCTATTGTTTATAGAGAGTGTGAGGCCAATACTAGACCATGAACTCGGCGTTTGGACTCGAGATCATTGTCTGATGGAAAGCGCCATGGAGATTTCAATATCAAGTCGTGTCAAGCTCTAGTTGGCTAGTTCTTCACATTTAAGATTTTCCTACTGTATAGGACTTCTTTCTTTATATTATTCTATGTGCGTAAACTTCCAGTTTCCGCACTTTGACTGATTGATCCAAAATATAAGTCTAGGCCACTGAGGAGCTAGAACTCTCGCAGGCTTCCAGGGGCAACCTTAGTATCATCATCAATGCGCTGGCATAATTCGTGCACCCTGCAAATATCCTGCGAGCTAATATATTCGCCCACTAAATAGCTTTATACCCTGGGTTGCCCCCGCCCCTCCCCCCCCCGGGATCTTAATTTACTGCTCAGCCGATATGCATAGCGTCGCTGAGCTATACATCCTTGCCGTATTCTACAGACTTGCTTTCGCAGCCGCCACGGGCCTGTTTGCCGGTACCACCGCGTTGCCGTTGACCGGGGACAACAGCAAGATCGGCTCCCGTGTTAGCATGGTATCGACCTTGATCAGCGTTGGGCCACTGCTAGGGCTGTCGGTAGCCGGAGCCATATTTGCCGGCGCAGATCTAGGCAGTCACATCATTTGTTGGTCGGGACGGCCGCCTTGATCCGAGCGAGGAGTTTGACCTCGGGACGGCATTTAATTGTCAAGATGTGACCTCTGGAATGGGGTGGTCGTATGATTGCCGACCACCCGACTAGTATCAAAGGTATTTGAATGGAATGTCTCGCTTGGAGTCTCGGTTGGCGAATGAAGTACACAGACTAAGTGTTATTGTAAAGCCCTACCTCTGGCCGAATAATCTCTCGGATAAAGAAAGTAAAGATGGGATGATGTACATGAGAGAGCAACTGCGCCGCATGGATACCTACCTCGATGATAGGAAAAATTTGGATTCAAGAGGGTTAGAGCATGCTTTCCATGGCCGAACCATCGGCATTCCCAGGGTTCCCGTGACCGAGGTCATGCATTGTTCCTGAAGGGTGATAAATGGGCGACCATCCTTTAAGGGGAGAATAAGAGTTGAAACAGGGGGTAGTCATTATTGAACAGAAGATATATAAAAGGGTCTCTGTATCCTTCGCATAATCGACCGTATATAAAAGAAGAGAAGAAGAAGCAAGAATATTATGGGGAAAACCTGGAGATCGCCGGCGCTGAGTCAGCGATCGGGGAAACGCCCGTGACTGAAGGACCAACCAAGTTAAGTGAATCAAGGTATCACTGCTGGTCAGTCGGAGCTCTTTCCTCCTCTCTCTCAGCACTGTGTTGGTTCCAATCTCCTCCTGTCCTTCTGGAATACTTCATCCTCCTTGTCGTCTTCCTGCCAACTCACCGGTACCCTCCTTTTGTTGGGGGTCCAGTCAGGTACCAACCTTCTCCCCCCCTCAAATCACCGCCTCCTCCTATCCACCTCCCCGCCGCCAACTGTCCTCTGTATAAGTCGACTTATTAACGTCCGGCTCCTCCCCCTGTCCTGGTCCCTAATAATTCTCTCTATGCTGTGACGATAACTTAGTACAAGACCGGCAATTTCAACCTCGCCCCTCGAGGGCCACCCCAATCACCATGTCCCAATCCTATCAGAGCCATGCGGCCTCTCATAGGCCGATTCCATCGTACAATCCGTTGGCTGCAGTGAACGCCCCGGCAGGCACCTTCCTACCAGGAACCAAGGTCCAGGTCGGCAATCATCGCGTGGTCGTCGAAAAGTACCTCTCCGAAGGTGGATTTGCCCATGTGTACGTCGTGCGTCTCCCACAGCCCGTAGATGGTACAGATAGGGCGGTGCTGAAGCGGGTTGCGGTTCCGGACAAAGCGGCGCTCGCCAATATGCGGACGGAAGTCGAAACAATGAAGAAATTGAAGGGACACCGGCACATCGTGAAATATTTCGACTCGCATGCGTCTCAGCTCCGAGGCGGCGGGTATGAGGTGTTCCTGCTCATGGAGTTCTGCTCGGGCGGAGGCCTAATCGACTTCATGAATACACGCTTGCAGCATCGCTTAACCGAACCAGAAATTATTCAGATCTTCTCGGATGTAGCCGAGGGCGTGGCTTGCATGCACTATCTGAAACCCCCGTTGTTGCACCGGGATCTGAAGGTGGAGAACGTTCTCATATCTCGTCACGGTACCTCGAGTGTCTACAAGCTGTGCGATTTCGGATCTACGGCACCCCCTCGTCCAGCAGCGACCTCGGCCGCGGAGGGTCGCCTGATCGAGGACGATGTGCAGAAGCACACGACGCTGCAGTACCGGAGTCCGGAGATGATCGATGTCTATCGGAAGCAGCCTATTGACGAGAAGAGTGATATTTGGGCGCTGGGAGTACTTCTATACAAGTTGTGCTACTATACAACTCCGTTCGAAGAAGTGGGACAGATGGCCATTCTGAACGCAACCTACAAATTCCCTAGTTATCCGGTTTTCTCGGATCGTCTTAGGATGCTCATTGGTAAGTCTATATCCTTTGAGCGGAACTTGCCGGTGGTCAAGCGATAGAACTGACTTCGACATAGCGTGGATGTTGAAGGAACACCCGCAGAAGCGTCCCAATATCTATGAGGTTGTGCGAGAAGTCTGCCACATGCAAGGAAAGGATGTTCCAATTCGAGATGTGAGTATCTTTTTTAGTCGCTGGATTCAGTACTCAGTCTCTTACTCGTGCTAGATCTATGCGCATCGGTCTAAGTCGGAAGCCCGCCGCTATCAGGAATTACCGCCTTCCCCGACTGAGGCGCCACAAGTGGGCGCGGTGTTCTCTCCGCCGGTCCAGGAGACTCAAATTATTCCCGAGATCGCCCCCATGCGACGCGGGCGGCCGACCAAGTCGACCAATTCCCAGCATACTTCTGCAAAGCCAAGTCCATCCCCGTTCCGCAACACCTCCACAGACCCTTTCGCTGCCCTAGACGGTGGGGCCAACAGGTCCCAGAACTCTACGGACGAATTTTCGAATCGGTTCCCTTCGTTGGATCAATTCGATATTCTACATGAGAAAGGTGGAAAGTTCGACTTTGAGGCAGCGTTCTCCGAGACGAAGCAAGAGGATAATGATCTTGCGAAGAGGCTCACAAACGCCCTTGCCGACGATGCCTTTGCCAAACGCCCGTCTCCCGCGGCGAATGAGCAAGCTCCCGAAACACCAGCACAGAAACCTCATACGTCTCAGATCAAGACCCGACCTGCCGAGTCTTTCAATCAATATCGCGAGGAGCCTCAGCAGCCGCAGGTACCCCTGTATCAACCTGTGCCGCAGAAGCCCACCATGGTATCCACAGGCACGATGACCTCGCCACCAGAAACGCCAACTGTACCGGAGTTGAAGCCATCCAGCCGTCCCATCTTTCGATTCCCTTCGTCAGACCATCAACGTCGGTCCTCTAGTCAACCGTGGTCCTCTGAGAGTGACAAGAAGGCTTCTCGGTCCATCAACCCTCCGTCCCCCACGAGGCCATCCGTGGATCCAAGAACTTCTGCAGACAGGATTTCCGATCTGTCGTCCTCTTCGTCGAGGCCTTCCTTGGAGGGCATGCGACCGTCAAATCTCGAGTTGGATGAGATCACGGGTCGGTCCAAGTCGGCGAACAGCAAGGCCCGCCCGTTGTCTGTTCAGGCAACTTCCAAGTTTGACTTCTCCCGCGGGTCCGAAAGCGCACGCTCCTCCCTCGATATCCCCAGACCCGCATACGATATGGGTGCACCGCTGCAGCATGCGCGGACGGAGACAGACCAGAGCTATGATCGGGCTAATATTTCTTCAGACATCGATTATCTGCGAGCGAGAGAAGAGGAGAGCAACCGGAAGAAAGAGAAACGGTACAGTACGAGCTCCAAGCACATCAAGCGGTCAAGTCTATCTACATTGTCACTCTCCGGAACCAAGACATTGTTTGCTGGTCGGTTCGGTGACGCATTCCGCCGGTTCGAGCAGAGCAACCAGGAATCCAAGGCTCAGTCACCCGCGGCAGAAGAACCAAAACAGCCCCTGGCGGTGACTTCTTCGGAACTAGTGGAGCCGCCTGCTGAATTAAGTGACCCCGAGAACGATGACATCTCCCCTGAGATGCGTCGCGAGCTTGAGCGCAGACGTCTCTCCCAGGAGGAGAAGCGCGTCGCCAACGCCGCTGCGGAGTATCGTCGTCAGGTAGCGGAGCGGGGTGAGGGGGGCTGGCGGCCAGGGCCCGATACGCGGTCGCAGTCGATACAGAACCGGGTGCAGACATTCTTAGAGGAAAGCAGCAAATCGGCGCCCGCTCCCAAGACAGCCACAGGCTACGGCCGGTTCACGGAGGAGCCCAGCGCTGCTTTGCCGGCAAAGCAGAATGAGCCTCTTCCGGCCCCGCGGATTAATACGCGAACGGCAGCACCTATGTATGGATCGCAACAGGGGCAAGCGTCGCCTGTGAAGGATCGGTGGGAGACGCCCAACCTGCCTACCCAAGAGACGGCATCCAGCGGCTATGCCCAATCACAGCGCACGGGGCCGTCTCGTCCAGCTGCCCCTCCCAAGCCCAAGAGCCTACAAGCTCGGGGCCCGGGGGCGCCGCCGGTCAGCGACCGCAGCCAGGCCACGCCTACTAGTCCAAGCGAGGATTGGGAGGCCAACTTCAGTCGGCGGTTTCCGAGCCTGTCGGGATTAGAGATGGTAGAAACGGAGATCGAGATACCAAATCTACCTAGTCTTCGGACGAAGGAGGTGTAATTTTTAGTTGTCCATTGTTTCTGTTCGAGCGTCAGGGGCTGTTGGTGCGATAATCGCTTGGCATGTGCGTGTGTGTGTATGGGTTCTATAGACTCTGTGGACTAATTTTGTTCTATACGTATATATATATCTATATCTATATTCTCTGAATATTGGAGACTTGCGTGAGTTTGGAAATTTTTTTTACATACATCATAAGTGAAAGATAGAAAGCGACTGAAATTAAGATTGAAAAGTGAAACTGAGAGTAAAACACATTTGAGCCTGAACGATAAGACTGCCAAATCCGGTTAGACTCCCCCAGACCAACTTTGAAGTCTCCACTGCGGCTCAAAAAAAAAAAGTCTAGATTCCAATCAATCCAACATCATCACCATCTCCAAACCATACAATCAATCAACACATATCCCCCACAATGGCCCCCATAACCCTCAACCAAGTCGACAGTAAGTCCCTCCACACACAAACACTAACACCTTCACTCAAACTAACACAAGTCCCCCCCAAAAAACCAAAAGCCGACCTAAAAGAAATAATCCACCACCTTTTCGAAATCCAATCCGCAGTCCACGGCTACCTCGGCCCAGAAACCCAGCAAGAACTCGTCCGGAAAATGTACCCTACCCCCAAGCTTTACCCCCCGATCTTCTCCCCACCCCCTCCCTCCATTTCATCTTCAAACCAGAAAAACTAACCAGAAGAAATGGGGTTAGAAAAAACCTAACCCTCTCCCTAAAAACCCTCTCAACACACACCGCCAACCCGCCCGAAGACAGTAACCCCAACCCCCAAGACCCAAGTCTGGGGAACATCCAACTCCCGCCTGAGATTATTGATTATGTGGATGCGGCTAGGAACCCGGATATCTATACGCGGGAGTTTGTGGAGCTTGTGCAGAGGGGGAATCAGGATTTGAAAGGGAAGAGGGAGGCGTTTGGGGCGTTTAGGGATGTGCTTGCTAGGGAGATGAGGAGTGCGTTGCCCGAGGTTAGGGGGGAGGTTAGTAGGGTTCTTGGTAGTTTGGGAGTTGAAGGGGGGGAGGGGGACGGGGGGAAGAGGGAGTGAGTGGTTTGATTTGGGTGCATTATGGTGTTTGGGGTTTTTGGTTGGGCTTGTTATTTCAAATGGATGGATGGATGGATGGATGGTTGAGGAGGAAGAGATGCGGAATTTACGGGATCTATGTGCTTATGCTTGGCTGGTGTGTGTGTATATCTGTACATTTGGCTTGATGATACCTTGTAGAGAATTTTGGACGACTTGACTTACTGCAATGATGGATTTCGTTTCACGCTTAGGAGGGTCAAGGACCATAGTTTTTAGATGTTTGATTCTGCTGGGCGTCAGTATTATCGTTAACATGGTGTGAATGCGCTTCCATTGGATTATGAGCTGGCTGTTAGAGTGAAAGAGGTGTACATACCAGTCTGAGTCTCTCACATCTTCCAAGCTGACTCTCCTGCATGTACTTGTGTCGCGGCATGGCAGTCCGAATAGAAGTAGTTGTGGTATGGAGGGTCGCCCAAAGCGAAGGTGAATGGGCGCTGCGGACATGGTGGAGAGCGAGGGAACGGAGCGCAAGAATTGGAGGACTGCCCAAAAATCCAAGTCTGACAACCAAATGCATGATTCATCCAACCTCAAATATATGAGACATTAGTTGGGGGTTTTTGATTGACTTTCGGAATGTGGGGGGAAGTTTCATCCCTTGATTTAAATGGAGATGTGGATTCTGCGGGGGAAAAAAAGTTTCGATATTCATTTCATAAATCGTTCAATAAAGTATCAACTCCGACAATTGCCCGAGGATGTCCCTCGCTATGTCGACCCATTGCTCTTATGTAACATGATCTTTTTAATTAGTTAATGTTGAAATGAATTTATGTACTTGAACCGGAAGTGTCAATTCCAGTTGTATCCTATACTGCCTCTATGTTAAGACTTCTTTCCGACTGTCCCTCATACGGCCCATCTGTTGTGCTTAGACACGACAGCAAACTCTCGTCCAGAAATGGCGAGAGCCGGGCGCGATGGGGGTATACTTTATATATACATGAGTTCCTCCCATATGTATCAGTATATAACGGTGTCCCGCTTGAAGTCAGTCTTGACTTCTATCCTGCCCAAATCTATCCTCAGTATATCAGGTGACTTTTACACGGCGTGGTCTCATAAATCGTCATTCGTTGAGAACAGACAATACTCAGGCGCTGCTAAAGAAGTCAAGGAGGTGGGCGGAGTAAAGAGATTCAGGGGTTTGGGGGGGGGGGTGGGAAGGGTAGCGTAAAAAGATATCTGGAGATCTGTCATCCTGGGCTATCTGATGATTGTCTCGATGGAAGGCTTTTCTGTTGATGTAGCGAGGTAAAGTCCACCGGACTCAATTCTCGATCGGGATATGGATGATTTGTATGAGTTTCGCCGCTCCAGGAGTGAGAAACTTCCGAGTGGCCGGTCTCTTGATCCCGGGAATGCCCCGAATGCTCGAACATGGCAATCGAAACGTCGTCCGTGTCCATCCAGGGGTGTGAACGGTGGCGGTTGGTTGGCACGGCATGTGTGAGATCGGAAGTGACCCGGGTTGCGTCCACAAAATCGGGGAATTCCGGCGTGCGGCGGCTGACCGACTCTGTCTTCCAGACATGACTGCGGACGAGATGCACCAACTTGCCCAGCACGGCGAATTCCAGTTTCAGTTTGATACTATATATGACGCCTTTGATCATCGTCTCCATGATGTACATGTCCTTATACTCAATCACCAGTAGGCCGATGTCCATCAGGATACTGACCAGGTTGATGGCGACCAGCTGGTACATGATCTTGCGTTTGCCTCTGTCGGGATCCAGACGGAGCATGCGAATAGTTTCCCAGATGTACAAGCCGGAGATGATGAATTCCTGGATGCAAAACCCGGTCATCTGGATCTTCTCCATGACGTTGTAGCCGTTGATGTAGGCGACCCGGCCGCTAGCCAGGTTGGATCCATAGGTAAAGACGGTGGTGGGGAGGTGCAGGATGATAGCATCCACAATAATCATAGCGAGTACACGGCGGAGGATGCGTTGGTTGGCCAGTACCAGATGGAGTCGCGAGTAGAGGACCAGAGATTGACCGGTGACCATTGCCCACCAACCGATGGTGATAAAAGTGACGGATAGCCATGTTTGGTCGGTCAAGTTGAAGAACTTTAGCAGAAAGCCGACCTGATAGGGCACAAGACCGACAGAGGAAGCGATGAACAAACTCCAGAAGTAAAGGCCGTGGTATTGGCTGAACGTGACGAAGACGAGGATAATCAGTTCGATAGCATTGTACCAGGTTACGGCGGCGAGCGTCGCAATGGCGATCTTGAAGCCAATGTCGTTGCCTGTATAACCGCCGGTGATACCATTCCCGGGTGCAGGACTACCCCCAGAGACCATGTCGAGTTAGAGGCTCGTCCCGTTTAAGCGCTCGGATAGATACGAGGCATGATTTGGAGCGTCGTGTGGGGGAAGAACCGATACGGAAACCACATCCACCGTCACAATAAGTCGTCGCAGCAGGTGGTGGAGTCTTTTGTGGAACACAATTAGGAATAGGGTAAAAGTGGGAAAGAGGAGGAAGAGAGTCAAGAGGGAAAGAGAGAGGAGAAAGAGTGAGGAGAGCAAAAGAGAAGCCAGAGAGACGAGAAAGATTACTAGCTGGTCTTTGTCAGGTGAGAGGCTGTGACCTATTTTCTGGGGCCGATTTCTGGGGAGTGGAGATGAAGAACTATAATAATCCCTAGGTACGGAGTTCATGAAAGAAGAGAGAAGAAATTAAAATAATAAAATAATAACTAAAATAATCGTAATAATAAAAAAAAAAAAAGGCCCATCAGCCTCAGATCGATTTGTCCGCGGAACTATGATGGATCCATGCACAGGCCCTACTCAAAATCGAGATCAATGCAGGTGTACACAATCATAGAAGACACCAGCTAAAAGGTGGAAAGCACTGTCAATGGATCCAACAGGAAAGGGTGTGTCTGTGTGTGTGTGTGTATGTGTGTGTCTCCATTCATACCCGGTGACTGATCCAAATTGACAGAGAAATTAATTGTCCGATCGATGGAAAAAGAAAAGCACCGAATGGGTACGAGAGACGATCATCCACAGATCCAACCCGGTTTCGCCCACTTTAGAGGGTCCAATCCAATGATATCACAAAAGACGCGATGTCCTCTCTTCGCATCTCATCCTGAGGTAATGACGAGTAATGAGAATTGTCTTGGACCTCCAAAGGATAGATCCTGTATAGCCTATGTACATGTCATTGAGAGATCGTGGAAGCGACAGCGCGTATCATATTTCGTTTGTCCTTTTTTTTGGGGGAAAAAAAAGCCCCCATCGGAAGAGTTCCGTTTTCCTAATTAGTAAATTTAAATTGTTGACCTGACCGGAGAGGTACCAGAGCTTTCATACCTCAAGTACTCTCACTCTGTCAGGTGTCATGGTCTCCACTTTCACACAGGCAGGATTTTAATTTAAAAAAAAAAAATAAAATAATAAAAATATAAATACGGTACCTCTCTCTTGGTTCGTTTAGTACTTCCGGTTCTCCAATAGTAAGTCTCACACCATTCCTCTTTCTATCTCCCTCGCCTCTCAAATCTCGAATCACGGGATCTCCAAATGAGTCAAATTGACCTTAACCCTAAACTCGACGGGGATCGTTCGACGAGAGAAAGAAAGAGAAAGAGAAAGAGAGTCGGAATTCCATTACCGCCATCCTCGAGGTTCTTTTTCTACTGACTCCTGGATCCCGATTTATTTTCTCACCATTTGGACCTAGCCAGTTAACCGCTCCCTTAATCCCTCATAACCAAGACACGCCCAACAGACTGGGAATAAGGCAACCTATTACACACAGCTCCCTCCGGCAAAATCATATCGCGGGGGCAAGGAAAGCGACTAAAAAGTGTATCTCACCGATTCTGACGGGAGGAGCACAAACCCTTCTCTCCATTACAGAATACCCCCGTGCGAAAAGAGTGACTTCATCTGACCCGTGGGAACCTCCACTTAAGGGACCAGCTTTGAAAATGCTAACCCAATGAAACCCCGGCCACCAACTTACCAAGACGGCTAAAACGGCTCCGACGGACTGGCCGCCCCGTCTCTTAACCGTTTGTTCATTGTTCGACGCCGATAAACTCGACCCCCAGACTATTGCCCATAGTTAACGGAATTGCGTTTCTTGGTTCTCCCTTTGTTCCCGCCGTTTAAGCTGAACCTGCGCGGTCCGCGGGTAAAGGGGAGGGGGGGAAGGAAAGGGAAGGGCGGTATTTCCCTTTCTGTTTTTTTCATTTTATTTTATTATTTTTCTACCCCCAAACCTTTTCTTACTCCCTCGTATTTTCTATCCCGGTATCCAATCGTCGTATCCTAAACGGTTGGCCACTTGACAGGGTCATTCTTTATTCTGCTGGACAATTCATCAAAAGAAAACGGCGTGAACTTTGTCCTTTAACCCGGTTTATTCCCTTTAAGATCCATTCAAAATTGACCGGTCCCCAGGTCTGGTGAACTTCGTGGATTGCTACCATAATAAGTTGTTGTCCGTTCAACGCGGCCCATGGGGAAATCTCTCAAGTCAGGCTGCCATTCAGCCACCCGTAGCGTTACGCCTCGGGGTCTACGCGGCGGCTAGAGATACCACCTCCGGAATATATACCTCCTTCTACTAATATTCATACCTATCAAGGATGAGTTGGAATGTTTTCGAGTATGTCTCGGATGTTAATTTTTTTTTTCCTTTTCTTTTCTTTCTTTCCTTTTTTTTTTTTTTTTTT